TAAAGGAGAGAAAACTTGTTAAATGCCTCCACTTTTGATATTTTGCTGTAATGGAAATCATGACAAATGTCTATAATGGGAACTGTGCAAACTGTGTGATAGGTTTTGGACTTTCTGGTAAGAGCATTCAGCTCTGTGATATGTACAATGTGATCCAACCTACGAGGTAAACATCAGAAGCCAGTACTTCAATAAAGTGCAAACAATGCTATTCTAGTAGTATATGGATAATGTCAGAAAATTCTGATTGCATTTTTGTGTTAAGATTTGGACTTGTAACAATGAGTGGACCACAGAATTGACTTACTTTTTAGAGATAAAGTTCTCTCTTTAATGTTAGTATTCAGCTGTGTTTGAAAGGTATAGCTATAAAGTTCTTTGGGGGTTTTGTATATTTGTATTCTTTTATTCCCTCTTCCCAGTCCTATATCTATCTACCTTACATATCAAGTTGATATGTTACAATTGATTGGTCAGTTTTAAATAACAGCTGTCAAAAACTCTCCCAGATATGGAATATCCTGTGTACTTGAGGAACGTACATTCCCTGACAGACAGAAAATTCACACATTTTTCATTATACGTGGCTTGAGTTCTTTTTCTTCCTCATCATGCCCTGTGTTTTACTACCTCTGTACTTCTCCCCCTCTCAGCATTTATTGACTGACCTCAATATTATCTGAGTGTTCGTATATTCTTTAAAATTCAGTTTAAATACAACTTCCATCATAAAGTCTTTTTTAATCTCCCATAGCTGAAAATAATCCCAACTGTTTCTATTTCTCTTTAACTTCACCTCCTGTAAGTTTTATTAATTTCCAATTTTGATTATGTATATATTCATAACAAGAAGTCTTCATTTTCATCTTTGTAAATCAAGAATAATATAGAAGTAATTCAAGCACTGAAAATATTTGTTAAAAAGTTAATTAATGACTGCACATGGGGTTATGTACCCTTGGCAATCTACATTTAGAGGCATAAAAATAGAACCCGTGGGGTTGATAATTGAACCTAGGATTTATGTCTACTTTTGTATTATCTCTCAGTGAATTGCTGGTGACTTCAGTGATTTAAGTGCCTCACATAACCTATTCGTTTCTTATTTCTTTTTCCATTTGACAGATAGAGTAACACCAAGATTTTTACTTATCTTGTTGTGATAGTATCAAGAAGTTAGTGCTTTTACAATAATTGAGCAAAGAAGGGCAGAATCTTATGAACTCTTACCACTAAAGCTACTCGTGCTGGGAATTAGCTACACTTGAACATTTTCTCCACATGTTTATAGCCTTAGAATCCTATTTACTGCTAACCATTGACCCACCATACTATTTTGGCCATGTGAATTGATGGTTTAGGGAGAGATTAATGCCAAGGCGGAAAGACCAGCTCAGGATCAACCAAACATCATGACAAAATTATGTACTTACATTAATTACTTAGGTCTGCATTTTGCATGAAGTTTCTTCCATTATTAAGACAAAAATACTGAATTATACAGTGCTTTTAAATGTTAGACAAAATACATAACTGTACAGCTGACAGTAAATCAGGAAGACTACACTACACACACTTTTATCAATTATTCTTTGATTAATTGAGTTAGAAATCAGAATGGCTCACTTCTTCACCTTTATATTCACTAATGCTCTTTTCTGGACTAACTTTCAAGGAGACAAAGTTAGTTTCATAATGTACATTGGATTTTCAGCATTAAATGCACTGCTCCTCATCTTGAAATGTTTATCCTAGAAGCTATTGTTCTTGTTGTTCTGAGTGAATGGAAGTTCCTCTTCATGTTTCTTTTGCTCAGTTATTATGCAGGTAATTATAACCTCTCAATAGGAACATGAAGTACAAGGACACAGTTTGATCACTTACTGGAAATTACATTAATACAAATGAGCAAACAAAATTGGATTTTTCCATTACATATAAAATGGCACAAACTTTAATAACCTTCTTATCTCAACGAGGCATTTATTAAGGATTAGCCATTTAAAAGCACTTGGAAATATTAACCTCTGCAAAATGTTTGGGAAGGATAGATTATCAAGATGTATGCTCTGTATCTTTCCCTTCTTGAATTCAGGTTTAGGGAACTGTGAGCAGAAAAAAATTTCACAGTTTCCCCAAAATCTCTGCTTGGGAGAGTTTGGGACTTTGGAAACCGTGACTCATGCAACAGTGATTAGCACTTTTATAAACAGGCATGCTAAAGAAGATCACTGCTAAGAGGATTCACATCTGCTTGCTCTATCCTCTCCTTAGACAAGTTAGTTCTCAAATGCCATCTTTAATGCCCTGTTAGGAATACTCAGTATACCTATGAAGTAGCTTGAGATTTCCTCTATCAACCACTATTGCATCTTTGCCAAGCCATAATCCTGGTGGGTATGTAAACTTCTTCCTTTATCTTAAGCAGTGTCTGCTGTTTGATTCCTTACAAAAGTACAATGTAATTCTGGTATACAATGTAGATTAAATACTCCTTGTAGGATCTACCATAGAATGAATGTGACCCTCCTTTCTATTTGTATTTACTATTAAAACCAGATACCATATCATTAACACAGGGTGCACTTTTAGACTCTCAATAGTTAATTATTTGTGTCAGTTGAAGAAGCTGCTTGGGCAAACCATAATTTATTCCAAAGAAAAGACATCTAGCCTGAGAAGCAGGAGTTCAGAATGGGGATTACAGATAACTGTTGTGAAGATGTCTAAGAATTTTCCCCAAGGTTCAGGGAGGAGGTAAACCAATGATATTATAAATGGGAGTCCACTGGCCCTCCTAAATGCATGCCCATATTACATACCACTCCATTAAAATTACTCAGCAAGATGATTAAGCACTTATAAAATAAATATTCTTCATTATTATATATTATGAGATGTTTTGCATTATGACTCAGTTTGAGTTACAAACAATTAGTACATCATCAAGGTTGTGGCTCTGGAATGTACAAGGCTTACATAGTTGCAACGGTACTTTCAGCCCAACTTCTAGAGCACAATTTGATTCTATGCCATCCCACACTAAGTTTTAATCGTCTCCCTCTCGAAGTTACTCTGGCAACCCATGGCGACCAAGACTACATGAAGATGGGGTCATGATGCAGTGTTTTTGTGCTCAAGGACTTCATGTCTTCACATCCATGCAAAACAATGAACGACACACAATAGATGTTAAACATGTAGGCGGATTATTGAATGATCACTAATTACATTATCATATGGACAAATTATCCATAAAAATTTAATAGATTTTAATCCCTTTATACAGTGTACTTCTCGTGCTCAAGTACATAATGTCTAGGCCTTTGTTGGATTTTAAATAATTACTAATAACTATATGGCTTTGGCAAATTACAACATTGTTCATCCAAAAGAGATAAAATGATAGTGTTTAAGGGTATTAACTTGTAAGGAGTATTAACTAAGCCATAAAGATCTAATGTACAGCATAATGAATATAGACAATAATATAATACTATAATTAGGTAATGTGATAAATATTTCTACAACACTAATCATATCACAATATATAAATATACCAAAGTAAAACACTATACAACTTAAACTTATACAATGTTATATGTTAAATTTACTCAATTAAAAAACTCATCAAAATAGATAAAATGAGGTTTTCCTCTCAATTGACTTTCTGTATTCCAGTTAGGTAAGCTAAAATTATAAATATCCTGCCTGGAAACTAGGATTTGATCCGCCTTCCCTATAAACAAGTTGACTCCTAATTTGTTTCCTTATTATTCTCTCTGCCATTTTTTAAAAATGATTTCATTCATTAGTCAAACTCCCAATTATACATCCACTTATTATATTAAATATTTCCCACCAGGTAAATTGGACAAGAGCTAGCATTACATCAAGAGTGAGCAACCAAACTCCCCACCACAAGTGACTCATATAAAACCTCGTGTTTTTCAACTTACTCTTTTCTTTCCCTTTTAGTATCAAAGTTGTGCCCTCACACACACATATATATATAATCATTTTCTTTTCTCAGTAGCATTGATTATGCATTCTTATTAATTCCATCAGATAAATTTTGATGCTTATAATATGGCAGGTGTTCTGTTAGTATATCAAGATGGGTTATATACCTGATCGCCTACTCCTAAGAACTCTCTCGTGACCGTGCAGTTTCCTGCTGACAGTCACTTGCTGAATTAGGGCAGAGCCTTTGCTCTGATTATGACCCTTAGCATGCCTTACTTTGACCACCATTATGTATGGTTGTTATACATGTAAATTTGGTATTCAGTCTGCAGTGCCTCAGTTTTTATATCATCTGCTCCATGATATAGGGAGAACTATTTCATGTCTCTATTAATAAGTGTTCATTGAGAATAAAGATTATTGTAGTACTTACTTCACAGATTATAGTAAGGATTTAATAACATGATACTTGCAAAATGCAACATAGTACTTGGCATATTGTAAGTCCTCAACAGGGCTTTATGTGTGTGCATGTGTGAGTGTGGTTGCTTTAACACATTTGAAAACAGTGGATCTAAATAATTGTAATTAATTTTTTGGACAAAGGACAAGGTAAGGGCTTTTAGATAATATGGTGAGTGTTTGTATCTTGATTTTGTAGTTTCTGATTTTTTTATGTGACTTAAGTACTCATAGATATTATGAAAGTAAATATAATTGTTAATCTTAAAATAATTGGCTTTCATATTTAATAACTACATCCTACATATTATAAAAATCTTGAAAACAATTTACTATATATAAACCACACTGGGTAGTGGTAATTACCAGAAATCTTGGATTTTAATTTACATGACTCATGTAAACAATAAAAAAGGAAGGTAAAAATAATGGTGTACATTTTTTTCTCCAAAAAGACTGAGCTTAAGTGCTGTTTACTTAAAACTTTAAAAAATAAAAATCTAAATTTCTGAAGAAAATGTCTAAAATAATGGCTTTACTATTCTGTCATTACTCTTCTTTTTATCTCTTAGGAATACACAATAGATATAATTTTTGCCCAAACCTGGTTTGATAGTCGATTAAAATTCAATAGTACCATGAAAGTGCTTATGCTTAACAGTAATATGGTTGGAAAAATTTGGATTCCGGACACTTTCTTCAGAAACTCAAGAAAATCTGATGCTCATTGGATAACAACTCCTAATCGTCTTCTTCGCATTTGGAATGATGGACGGGTTCTTTATACTCTAAGGTATGACTGTTAAAAAAATATACAGTTGCTTTAATTTATTTTCCATGCTAATATGTGATCAACTCTTAAATATACCTTTTTTCAAAATTGCAAAGGAAGAACTTCTTTTATATGCTAAAATCTAAAATAGTGAAATATTTTGGAAACAACTGTTTAAGCTCAGAGTTACTGGTATGTGAAAAGGACTAAAAGCAAAGAAGAAAAAATCCTTGATTTCCCTTCTTTGAAGGTGAAGAGGTTGTGGCATAACCTCCTGTTTTTTAACCTATAATGCAAATGACTGATGGAGATTTTATCTAATGAGTCCATTCTGCCATAACATTTTAAAATACTCTGATTTTTCAATGCTGTAGTAAAACATCCCTAAGAAAGGATTAAAGGTTGATGTAAGATTCAAGTTTATTTAACTCACTGTCTTGAACATATCTACTTATTAAGAAGCATATCCTTAATGGAAAGATTTTTATGATAAAGAGGGAAAAAATCACCATACTTAACCATGTACACTACGTCAATCTTCATGTGTATGTACATACATACGTGTTTGTTGAGATCCTGAAGTGTAAATTTTTAACAGTAAACACAGATCATACTTAGATTAATTGGGAGGCATCTTAGTTGATTGAAAAGAAAAATGTGAGAAGTTTCTTATTTATTTATGAATGTTATTATGTTACTATTTAAGATTTTGAGAACTCAAAATTATTCTTTCCAAGTACATCACATTCTATCATTGTCAGCCAAAATCATGTTTTAAAATTAGACAAAAGATTTTTAATGCTTGGAATTATTTCTTGTTATTTAATATTTATTTTTTCATCTGAATAGATTGACAATTAATGCAGAATGTTACCTTCAGCTTCATAACTTTCCTATGGATGAACATTCATGCCCATTGGAATTTTCAAGCTGTAAGTGATAAAATACTTGATATTTTCATAGAACATTATAGTTTCTGATCTTGATTATTTAAAAATGTAAAATGAAATGAGATGAGCTACAATTTTTACAGTTTTCAGAAATGTGGGTTATGTCCAACTTTTAGATAAAATTACAAATGACATATTTGTTTCTTGCTTTTAAATTAAAAAGTGACAATAAATGCATAGTGAATGTATATATTTTATTATATCATTCTTTACAAATCAGTTTTATCCAAGTACCCTTTTGCTATTTTGATTAAATAAAGGACTATTGAAGATAGGTTTATGTTCAAATATTTTTACACTGCCATGAATAAAAAGCTGAGTCAAATTTTATTCATATTCCTGGAGGCCAGATTTAACTTTATTATTGGTGAAGAATATTTACTACATGAATAGCAAATATCTGAGAAGACTTTAATGAGGTGGAAAAACCAAGGTAGAAATAAGTTTATTTTATCCAAAAGAAGGAATGAAAGCCAGAGAAATGATTAGAGCAAAATAATTTGTATATAAAACTTAGCATTTTGTTCTAACGAAATAGTTACAATCTTTCTATATTAATATCAGTTTTATTTTGTATTTACTAACATATTTAGCTTTACATGTGTTTTTATAAAAATATTTTTTCTAGATAGTATCTAATTGAGCAAGTCTTGACAACATGTAAAACGACTTTAGAAAACAATATTGCCTATGTCCAGAATTATGTAATGCTATTTCCCTTTTTGAAATTCGTTTTTTTAGATATCACATTCTAGAATCTATTCACAGTAGATTATAAGAACTCATAAGTATTATCCTGCTTATTCACTTAACACATTCCCAAATATCTTCTGTTATCCCTTATTAACAATTTTGTCATTTCTTAATGATTTTTATCTCACTAAAACATCTTTTTAAATTCATAATCTAACATTTCATTGCTTTGACTTTCTAACATTGACTTCTCAGTGAATAAAATAGGCAAGTCACAACAAAGACTTGATTAATAGGAACATTCAAGGAATAACTGACATGCAAATATTTAAAGATTTAGCAATTATTGTACTCACCTCTAGATACCATGCCTAAATTCTTTGCGTGACATCTCTTTAGCTTTGATTGTCATTATTGGGAATTAATATTCTATCCCTGTCAGTGCAATTGGGTGTCACGGACATAAACATAATAATCATAGCTAAGTTTTTTCAGGCACTCTGTATGGGTCCAGCAGAGAATTAATCCTTCTCCATCTAATGTTAAACAACAAATATATTGGGAAGATTCCAATAAGGCTCCCATTTTAAAAGTAGATATCATGAGATTTAGAGTGGTTACGTAATGAGCTCACTATTTTTAATTTGTGCCTACACTCCTATATGCTATAACTGTACTCTGTTGTGTCTATAATTACATTTAAAAAGAATGGGAAATATGGAAAAACAAGGTGTCTAAACCTTGAGAACAAGGGAGAGAAGACGGAGAAAGAAAGAAAAAGATCCTTAAACAGGCCAGCAAAGACAACAGCTATTTCATCACATGGCTGATAAGGGAGTTGATACACAGTTTTTGAACTTTCTCAAGGTGATAGTGAATTCCGTTTCTGTAATATGGTAAACCAACCCATTTATGGAAAACAGTTTAAAATAGTTTATTATTAAAAACTTCTCAAAAACGTGGACGTGATCACTAGTAAGGAATTTTCAGCCACAAAAATTGATGTCAGAAATATGAATTTTGGAGCCAGTTTTGACCTGAGGACATTTGTCAAGCAAGATAAATTTGAGCTTTGATGTTTACAGCCTTGTGGAATAAAAATGTAATAAAACGTGATCTCTACGTACAGCTTAGGGTAACATGAAAGAGTGTCCCCCATACACACTCACACACATGTACATACAACCACTAAGGTCTAAAAGGAAATTTACCTCTGCAGTCAGCATACCAGGGTGAAATAACTCCTTGAGAGGATTTAATCACAAGCCCACCCCAACATGGATTGCCCAAATTTCCTTTGCTTGACTGGACCCAAAGGCCTTGTGGATTTCTGACATGTAGCAGAAACAAAAGCATATCCTTTTTGAAAGCATTCATTTCCATTCTAGACAGTGACAGAGAAGGCAAAGACAATTTAAACACAAATGACTAACAAATGTCTACTATCCAGAGTATATATAGAATTCAAACAAAAAAGAAAGATAAAAAAGAAAACCCAATAAAATAATGGGCAATTGAACAAATAGTTCTCTAGGGAAGAAATCCAACAATCTAATAAACACATGAAAAGATGTCTAGGTTTTATTTATAATCAGGAATAAGTGAAATAAAATTCTCTCTACAGACTAGTAAAAGTAAAGAAGGCTGCCAACATAAACTTTAATGTATATATCAATCTGCATGTACTTTCATACTCTGGCTATTGCGAGATGAGGTTAGTATACTCTCTATGGAAAAAAGATTGACATTGTCTCGTAAAATGGACATTATAAATAATCTATGACCCAGCTATTCCATGCTTAGATATGTATCCTAGAGGAACTTTTGCATATACATGCTTTGTGAGGCATATACAGTAATGTTATTTGCAGCAATATTAATAATAGCCAACAGGAAATGTTACAAGTGTCTACATAGTAAAACAATAGACTAAATTTAATACAGCTACATACAAGAGCATGGGTGACTATTACAAATATGATATTAAAAGAAGTAAGTTATAAAATAATGCATCCAGTATGGCAATAATCAAGTAGAGTTCAAAAAGAACCTAAACCAAGTCTTATTTTTCAGATGGGCTGTTTAGAATATCTGTAACAAAACACACGTCTTTTCCTGGATGCTAACAAGGTTTTATTTCTTGATTTGAGTGGTTACATTAATTATCATTAATCACTATATGATTATTCTTTAAGCTAAACATGTAAATTTTATGCAGCATTTTTCTATAGTTGACGTATAATAAAAAATGAAGAAGCATTTCAGAGAATTTAGATGATATTGATATTAAAACAGTAACAGATTTGGATCTGCTAATGTATATGTTTTAATTTTAATTTTAATTTTGTACCTAGATGGATACCCTAAGAATGAAATTGAGTATAAGTGGAAAAAGCCTTCTGTAGAAGTGGCTGATCCTAAATACTGGAGATTATATCAGTTTGCATTTGTAGGGTTACGGAACACAACTGAAATCTCTCACACAATCTCTGGTAAGAAGAAAACATAAGCCAGTGACTAATGCTATCATTAAATGGCGCTTGTATTTAAACCTATGATTTGGAATCTATACTTATAAGTATTTTACAGCTAAAAACAAAACTTTTTTTTTTCTTCCAGGAGATTATATAATCATGACAATTTTTTTTGACTTAAGCAGACGAATGGGATATTTCACTATTCAGACCTACATTCCATGTATTCTGACAGTTGTTCTTTCTTGGGTCTCTTTTTGGATCAATAAGGATGCAGTTCCTGCAAGAACATCATTGGGTATGACATGTAATATTATGCTTCAGTATCATAAGACTTTTAGTAACATTTTAACATGATGAAAGTTTACAGTTTAATATATTAGAAATATTCCTCCAGCTACAGTCAGGCAAAAATTGACAGATACTCTACTGCAACATGATGTTGAAATAAACATATGAAAAACAAGTAGGAAATAGAATCGTAAAGAGCTTGAAATTTCAGAAATGTTTTTAAAATAGGCCAAGGAAAGCATGAATAATCACCAAGAATTAATATATGAAAGGCATATATAATCCTAGGATGTTAAATTTGGTCAATATTTTCAATCACTTTTCAGCAAGATTTTATTTTATTTTTTAGCTGAATCACTAATAGCCAGTATTTGTTGACTGGTGTGTGCTTAGAAATTCCCTGCTCTTACAATGGTGTTAATGAACAGTCAGCTGTTCCAAAGGGCAGGTCGCTGAAAGGAACAAGAAGTTTCCAGGCTTCTGTAATCCATAAAATGTGTGATTAGTCTACGAATATTTTTGAGAGTTGCCTGTACAGTAACATTGATTAAAAGAGTAATTTGTAATTCATACATGATAAAGCAGACTTGTCCTTTCTTTCTTTAGCAATCTATTGTGATAATCAAAATCATGTAAGAAAACGTGTCTAATTACTATATATTTTTAAAAGAAAATGATAACCTAAAATCATGTATTGATATATAAAGACAACTTAATGATTAATTGATTCATTCCCGACAAAAGTGCAAGATATGAATCACACTACTAGTAACTGTGTCTTAAAAAACGTAAAGTTGGGACAGTTTCTGTTTTCAACAATAAAGAATCTTTCATGTGTTTTCTATGATAGCTGGTAAAGAACTCCATGTAATAAATATAATAAAATGCAAATCACAT